AATCAATTAATATAAATAGTGTCTCTCTTCTTTCATCTTTGGAAATACCCACTGAGAGGGACTTTTTCTACTATCACTAACCTCTTGACTATTTGAAGTGATCAAGGAGTATGTATCTTTCTTCTCCCAGGATAACTTCGAGATATATGCCAGTGACCATAAGGAAAACAGATCTGGTTTAAAGTATTGGCTCACAGGAGGCGGGAAGTGACTCCAAGAGAAGCTTCTATTTATAGCACAATTGGTAAGAATCATTTCTTTTATCTATGACTATAAACATTTAACTAAACTACAAAACCTATATTACCTACGCTAACAGATGACATGCTATTATTTTTAGATGCGTCTATACTAGATTTAGCCAATGCTTTATTTCAAATAGAATCTCTGTTACAGAACTTAGCATGATAATCATTGATAAAAATAACCTCTTTTATGATGAAGGCCAGTGTTCACCTTCTGTTTATAGCAGTTCACCTCTGAGTTTTGCAACCTGGATAACGTTTTAATCCCACAAAGTAGCACCAACTATGTGACGGTCTTTTGAGTCCTTGGGTTGGTTTTTCCAAGTGCAGTGAAGGATTTGTTGTGACGATATCCACCGCAGAAGTCTCAGCTTCTCACACCATCCTTAGGGCTGCAATCCATTTGGTTACCTGCGTCTTGAAACAGAAAGACCAAATATGGATGTCAGTCCAATGACTAGAATATTCATGCGAATATCTGCATACTGTAATTATTTGTTGCGGAAATAAAAAAGAATGTAATGAAATACAGAAATTTTCATAATGGAAGGAGCAGGTTGCTCATGGATAAGCCATTTGAGGAGAATCAGAATTGAGCTTCAACCCAGTTTCTCTGTCCCATGAATAATGGGATGAAGGGGAGGAGATAGGCCAGATCTCGGAGAACAGCAGCGATGGCAAGTAGAAACCAAGTGGTCGGAGAAATGACCGTGCTGGGCTGACAGGCCCCCGGGAAAGCAGCGCTCAGAATCTTTCTAGCTGGAGATGTTTGGGAGCTGGACAGCACTGTGAGAAGAAAACTGAGGCAGCAGTGAGAAAAGGTCATAGATAGCTAAGAACTTTAATTTTTAAGAAATTAGAAAGCAAAAACCAAAATGGACAGGAAGTGTGGCATACCCCAAGGCCCAAGCTGCCTTCCAATAAAACGCACTTTCATGAATGGTCCTACTATTTCTAACTTTTTAAAAAGTCACACCCACATGCCACAATGCTCGGGAATCTTTTCATTTCTTTCCTTCATTTTGGGGACAGAAATTCCCTTTGATGTCTTCTTGTTACCAAAACTGTGGGAGCACGGGGTTCACCCCGGCCTGGGCTTTCCTCCCTCGTTGCCACTTGTGCGGGTGATGCACTCTTAGTTACAAAGCGCCAGACTGCCGCTGCCTTCAGTCAATCCGTTTAGCCGAAGGCCTCTGATTTGTTCACATTTACTACAACACATACAGAGGGCTGGAGGACTTTTTTTTTTTTTTTTTTTTTTTTTTTTG